GGCGCATTTGGCAGAGTTGAAGACTCTGCTCGAGAAGGCGTTCAAGCTTCGAGAGATAAGTCATGTGCAGAAGTACTTGGGTTTGGAGCTGATCTGGGACAGAGCTGCTCTGAAGATCTGGCTGCACCAGAGAGGCTACATCGACAAGTTACAGAGGCGTTTTCTGCCAGAGCGGCCTCCTCGATGAAGCCCGAAAACGCCGATTTCTGTCGATGCGTTCAAGGAGTTGACGTTCGACGATGCAGAGTTGCAGGGACGAACAGAGGAAGAGTATCGCCAAAGAGTGGGATCTCAACAGTTCGCCGCTTGCACGACACGTCTGGACATCGCTTTCGCCTGCAGCAAACTCGCGTCTGGGCAGACTGTTCGAAGTGATCAGCACTGGAAGGAGCTCGACCGTTGCATTGCGTATCTCGTAGGGACTCGCGATGTGGATCTGGAGCTCGCTGGAGAAGCCACAAATTTGCGCCTCATTGGTTTCGCAGATGCTGATGATGCTGGCGACAGGCAGAGTCGCAGCAGCACAAGTGGCTACATTTCCACCCTCAGCGGAGCTGCAATTTCACGGGTGAGCAAGAGGATAAAATGTGTCACTCTCTCGTCTACGGAATCTGAGTACATCTCTGCCATGGAGGCTGGCAAAGAAGCACGCAAGCTGCGCTTTTTGCTGGCAGAGTATGGGCTCCTCGACGAGGATGAGCCCACAACGCTCTATGTCGACAATCAATCTACCATTTCTGTGTCAGAAGGGATGGGGCTCAAGGGGAGCCTTAAGCATATGGAGCGGCGGTACATGTGGCTGCAGCAGATGGTCGCGCGTTGCAAGTTGAAATTGCAATACATCCCCACAAACGAGCAGCCGGCAGATTACTTGACAAAGGCCTTGCATTTTCCTGTGTTCGACCGATGCTTTGGCAGAGTGGGTCAGGTGCGATTGTCTACGAAGGGGAGCGCAGAAGGAGTCTCATCAAGGGAAGAGTAGGTGCCATGACCTCTTTCATGGCTGGTGCGGTGATTCCAGCCTGCGAAGTAGTGCAGATTCTCGCGATTTCTTGTGTGTTCATTTTGTGTGTTTTCCTTCCTTAGGATTTCCTCTAGATCGGTTCTCTGCTGGTTGGTGATTTCGCATGACCAGTGCAGGGGAGTGTTGAGAATAGCCCTGATCCTGCGAAGGTTGCAGAAGTTTGCTGAAGCGGCATATCAACGAAGTCTGCAGACATGAGCCCTGCAGAAAGGTCCATCAACAAAGAGCAGATTTGTTGACAAGGCGAGGCTCTGCGGGAAGTGGCAGAGGAGCAGTTCGCGCAGAATTGCGTTCTGCCGAAGTTTGGCAGAAAGGCAATTCGGCTATCTCTTCTGTTGTCGACCCCCTCGGCAGAAACGAAATTCGGCAGAAGCGCGGCAAAGAGTCATCTCGGACTTCGCTTCTGCGAGCGACCCCTTCGACATAAAATTGGGGACTTAATTTTTCTGATGAAGGTAACGTTCTGAAATCGCGAGAAATTTGTGATTTCGTAAGTTAACCACAGCACCGATCTGGACCGAAAACGACAAAATCTACCTGCGACATTGAGAAATTGAACACGTGACGCACATTTCGTAATTGCGGAAATGTGCGTAACATCTGACAATTTCATATAGTGTATGAAACTATTAAAACAACTACTTATGAGTGGGTAAAATTACAAACTGAGCATGTGCTGTAATTTTCATCTGCCATTGCTGACTTGGCTAAGAGCAGCTTAGAGTAGTTATGTAAACGTTCTCGTGCGAACGTTCTTTCCGTGTTCAATGAGGTTCAATGGGGTAGTACTAGTGTTTGCTTTGTGTACCATACTTTGTAATCTTGATTCTAGTGAATTTGTGTGCCCAAGCTTTCTCAAGCTACTTAGTGAAACACACAATTCTGAAGGCAACTCTCTCCCTAGAGAACCACAGAGCTATGGAGCTCTATCTGCGTCAGGCACTTCCGCAGAAGCTCCCGTTATAGCAGAAAACTCTTCAGGGATGGGACAGGATGGGAGGAGCTGAGTGGGTATGGGTGGAGATGGGATGGGATGAGAGGAGATTAGAGGAGATAGGACGGGATGGGTGTTGATGGGTGGAGATGGGACGGGATGGGAAGACCTGGGACGGGATGGGAGGTGATGGGTGGTGATGGGATGGGATAGAAGGAGATGAGTGGGTATGGGTGGCGATGGGTGGAGATGGGGGGAGAATGGATGGGATGGGTGGAGATGGAGGAACGTGAGAGCGTGGCAGCTTGGACACGCCGTGGGGATGGAAGTCGGCCGACGCGGGTCAGGGCAGACGGCGATGCTCCCCCTTTGTTTATCGTCCTGTTGCGGAATCGTGGGGCGCGGCAACGATGAGAAGGGCGACGTGCGTTGGGCCTGAGGTCGCCGGTGTTGAGGGGGAAAGGCGTTGAGGTGGAAGGGAGTAGGGCGGCGAGGCAGAAGGGAGTAGGGCGGCAAGGGGGAAGGGAGTAGGGTGTTGAGGCGGCAGGGAGTAGGGCGTCGCAACGGAAGGGAGTAGGGTGTCGAGGCGGAAGGGAGTGGGGCGACGGGGCGGAAGGGAGTGGGGCAACGAGGCGGAAGGGAGTAGGGCGGCGAGGCGGAAGGGAGTAGGGCGGTGAGGCGGATGGTAGAAATGCGGAGGCGCGGCTGGGAGAATCGCGTGTAGGCGAACGGGAGAAACGCGTCGTGGCGGGACGGGAGAAACGCGCCGAGGCGGACCGGAGAAACGCATGGTTGCGGCGGATGGGAGAAACGCGTCGCGACGGACTGGAGAACGCGTCGTGGTAGACGGGAGGGGGGCATCGATGCGGATGGGTGAGCGTCGTGGGGAGGCGGTAAGGACAGTCGCGGCGAGTCGGGAGGGAGTATCGTGTCGCGGCGGAAGGTAGAATGGTGTCGTGGCGGAAGGGACACATGCGGCGAGGCGGATGATTGAAATGCGTAGAGGCGGATAGGAGAAATGCAGAGGGGCGGCACTGAGGCGGGCGCCGAAACGGAAGGGTGATGGGCGGCCTGGAGGTTGGGGAATGGCACTGTGGCGGAAGGGAGATACGCGCCGTGGCGGAAGGGAGATAGGCGTCGGGGCGGCAGGGAGAATCGCGACGTGGCGGAGGATAGATGGTCGCGAGGCGGAAAAGTGGTCCGTTTCGAGGCAGATGGGAGTCCTAAAGCCTTCGCGTAAACCCTGAGGTAAATATATTCAGCCCCTACATTCGTAGGAGCCATGGAGCTTGTCTCTGGGTTATGGCATGCTTATGTGCCTGGGGTGCGGGCCTTCTTCTCAAAGTCTGTATTTCCCTGGGTTGCTAAACAAATGCTCTGAGACTGGTTGTTGGGTTTGTCGCATTGTTTCAGATTGGGGTTGGTTGGGTTTCTGTCGAGCCAATTCTCGGTTTTTTGCGACCCTGTTCCCTCTTTTCAACACCTTCCCTGGCTACCCGTTTTCAATTGTTGAGGAGTTGCCACCTTTTTGGGAAACCTAGACCCCGTGCTTTAAACCGCATCGAACGTGTTACGAAGGGTGGTTATTCTGCACAGAATAACGGAATTGATACCTCAGACTTACTACGGTGTGGAATATTTATGTGAAGTAGACAGCTCATAGTTCCCGCGGAAATCTCCTGCGCCAGTCGGGCTCCGCTGATGCTGCTGGCCGGCCCATGGCGACGCCGCTACCGCCACCGCCACTGAAAAAAAATGACAAAAAAAAAAACTAAGCCATTTCGAAAACCCAGAATGGAGATTTGACGGATGAGAGAAAACAAATTTGACGGATGAGAGAAAACAAATTTGACGGATGAGTGGTGAATGAGTAGCCCTAGAGAATGGGTCGAACCGTGGATGTGTTCCCGCCAAGAAGACAAACATTGACAGTGACTACGATGTCGTAGCACTGGGATAACCCTGTCGATCCTCTCTCTATCTTTAGGGAGGGTACTGGGGAGACTTTCCTCGGGGAAGGTGGATATATGGAGCCTAACCCTCCTGATGATATCCATTCTTGTCCCAGTGGTTAGGACTGGTGACTTTATGACTTGGTATCAGAGCCATCCCGGGTTCAATTCCTGGTGTGCAAGCTATCCCAGCGGGGGGGTGTGTCGTAGCACTAGGATAACCCTGTCGAACCTCTCTCTATCTCTAGGGAGGGTACTGGGGAGGCTTTCCTCGTGGAAGGTGGATATATGGAGCCTTACCCTCCTGATGATATCCATTCTTGTCCCTGTGGTTAGGACTGGTGACTTTATGAATTGCGAGACTAGGGCGTGATGCACAGAGCTCCGCTATTCAAGTTAGGGGGTGTATCAAGTAGCTGCACGACGTCATGCCTGTGACGTCGAGTCACCGCCTCCGAAATGTCAGGGTTGGTTTCAAGCCCTGGAAGGATACTGCAGCGTTTTGCTAGCGAAAGGAAGTGAGACAAGGGCTTGTTTCAGGCTGGTTGTTTGTTTGGGGAAAATTCTGGTGTAGTGTAACCGCCGTGTCAGTATTTGCTAGCTGCGAACTATCAGGAGTTTCGTCAAGCGTCGCACAAACCTCGCACGCCATCCTTCTTGCCATCGCAGAGAAGGATGACCTCTCACAACAAACCTCTCACAAACAACCAAGGCTACAGCGATGTTCTCTGCCCAACCACCACGATTCCCCACATACCGTACCACTTGTCTAGGCTCGGACCCAGATTCCCTTTTGGCACACCAATACACAGAACTGGGCGGGTCAGGGCATCATCCTCCCTGCCTCCATGTTCCCAACATCCCCGAGCTGGACATCCCCTGTCTTACCTCGAAATTGGGTGCGGTACAAGTTGAGGTTGATCAGGTTCGACCGCCCTCGTGCAACGGGTTTGGACGCGGCTTTGTAGGGTACAAAAAACTTTAGCATGGGTATAGGGCGGTGACGAGTCGATCATGTGCCATCAAACCTCGAGATGCCAACTTGTCCTGCGTCCTTACCCTCCAGCTTTCGGCCTCCAGTTCCGTGCTTCCTGGTACTCCCAAGGGCAGTGGGTGCTGCTCCTGCGACCCCATGGCGCCATTAGTGCTCGCGATGAGCGTCAGTGGTGACTATCTGCTCCCGCCGTTGTGTTTCCTTGGTAGACTGAGACACTGACCTCGTGGTAGAATTAGACATAGGCCTCGCATGGTAGGAAGCGTAGCTCGCGTCTTTCATTGTCGTACTCCGGGCGCGGTACAAGTGACTCAGGGTCGGGGTCGCATGTCCTCAGGGTCGCATTTTTAACGGGTTCCAAGGCGATTTGATGTGGCGATAGAACCTTTTTATGTGTGTTGAGTGCGGTGGGGGGTCGACCTTTTGCATGCGACCCCCAAAAAAGTCAACTTGTACCGCGCCCGTAGCCTGGAAGCAGCTGCACCTTTTCCAACCGATACGAGCGACGGTCTAGTCTCGTTTCACTTATGCATAGTGTCAGGTGAAGCATCGCCGAGCGATCATCCACTCGCTGGCTCGATTATGCGAAACCTAACGCCTCAGTGAACCTTAGTAGAAGCAGCGAGTCAGCACCTCGGTGGCGCAGTGAGTCAGTGACTTAGCGACGCAGCGAGTCAGCGCCTCGGTGGCGCAGTGAGTCTGTGACTTAGCGACGCAGCGAGTCAGTGCCTTAGCGACGCAGCGAGTCAGTGCCTTAGCGACGCCAGCGAGTCAGTGCCTTAGCGACGCCAGCGAGTCAGTGCCTTAGCGACGCCAGCGAGTCAGTGTCGCTGAAACCCAGCAACGCAGCGAGTCAGGGTCGCGGCAATGCACAGCCTGGCGATGGGGACGAGCCGCGGGCACGTGGCGGTGTGGGTGGTGGAGGTGGTGCGCGACAAGGAAGTGAGCAAGGATGTGCTGCTCACCGCCATCGAGGACGCGCGCCTCTGCGCCTTCCGCGTTGCCTTCAACCTCGTCTCCGTCCTCACCGCCGTGCCGTCCTCCAGTTAAGCACGAGAAGCATTGAGCTGTCTTAGAAGCGTCGCCTTCAATCTCGTCTCTGTCCTCACCGCCGTGCCCTCGCCCAGTTAGGCATAAGCAATGGACGGTCGCTAGTCGTCGCCCAGGTAAGCATGAGCAATGGACGCTTGCTAGGCGTCGCCCAGGTAAGCGACGATCACCTGAATTCTGTCGCTCGGATTGTTTTTTCCTCCAGATGACGTTTAGGTGTCTCTCGCTAAGGTGTCTCTCGCTAAGGTGTCTGCCTCTCTGCTCCCAGTCTCTGACACACTAGTACCTTCTGCAGTTCCGTTATGCCATTCTCTCGGCTAGCCATCTTTTTGCTTTCGCGTCGTCCGGTTCCCCGCCTCGTGACTTTCCTCTCACCGCGCTTCGCGCTGATGCTCGCAGCGGGCGCAGAGCTTCCGATATCTCAGGCGGACGCGCGGTCGGTGCAGGAGATGGAGAACAGCATCTTCCAGAACATCCTCGTGCCCTTCAAAACCTTCTCCGAACGCAAGCACGTGAGCCGCCCATTCCTCTTTAAGACGACCCGCTTCCCTGGTTAGTTGATTCTTAGAGAATTATTATGAATTAGCTCAATCCCTGCAGGAGATAGAGAACATCGTCTTCCAGAACATTCTCATGCCTTTCAAGACCTTCTCTGAGCGCATGCACGTGAGCGCCCATGATCACCCACCATTGCACGCATCTCCCATGGCATCATGATTGCCAACGCGCATCTCCCACGGCATTCCTCCCCATGGCATCATGATTGCCAACGCGCATCTCCCACGGCATTCCTCCCCATGGCATCATGATTGCCAACGCGCATCTCCCACGGCATTCCTCCCCATGGCATCATGATTGCCAACGCGCATCTCCCACGGCATTCCTCCCCATGGCATCATGATTGCCAACGCGCATCTCCCACGGCATTCCTCCCCATGGCATCATGATTGCCAACGCGCATCTCCCACGGCATTCCTCCCCATGGCATCATGATTGCCAACGCGCATCTCCCACGGCATTCCTCCCCATGGCATCATGATTGCCAACGCGCATCTCCCACGGCATTCCTCCCCATGGCATCATGATTGCCAACGCGCATCTCCCACGGCATTCCTCCCCATGGCATCATGATTGCCAACGCGCATCTCCCACGGCATTCCTCCCCATGGCATCATGATTGCCAACGCGCATCTCCCTCGGCATTCCTCCCCATGGCATCACGATCAACGCCATGCATCGCCCGTGGCAGATCCCAGCAGCCATGCACGTGGAGAAGAACGACAGGCGCGAGGAAGGGCTGGTGCACGTGGCAACCTCCTTCCAGGCAACGCGCCTCTACATTGGCTCCAAGAAGTGCGTGCTCTAGTCCAGGGCGATAGGGCAATAGGGCAATAGTACGCTTGTGCCTCTACATCGGTGCCAAGTAGTGCGTGCTCACAGCACGTCTTCATCAGCGCCAAGAAGTGCGTGCTCGTAGTGCGACAGAACCTTGGTCCAATAGCGCATGCTTGTGTAATGAGTCGATTTTTGAGTCGACTAAAAAATCGACTCATTACACTCGTTGTGCGACAGAACCTTGGTCCAACAGCGCATGCTTGCTGTAACTGTGGGCCCTGCTAAGCTGACTCTCTTATGACCACGCAGAGGCTATGCAAATGGTTTCGAGTGGTTCCGCTCCGTGCATGAAGGCAAGGTGGTGAAGTATGCCCCGTGCCGGGTGCATGCAAGCAAACGTGTTGCCATGAGACATTGACACTGACTCCCTCTCCCATTGTTTTTTTCGGAATTCTTAGGAAAAAACCCTCAAAGAACGCCTGAGAATTCAAAAAAAGCACTGTGAGACATTGACACTGACTCCCTCCCTCTCCCATTCCTACTTTATATTTTCAGTCCATCCAGACGTCTCCCTCACCCAATCCCCAAAACCCCTCTCGCCTTCTCCCTTCCCTCCCAGGAAGCTCTTTGGCAAGGCGTCGCACGTGCCCGACTACTGCAGCGCCCACCTGCCCGACACGTCACACCTGCACTCACTGCTTTTGAGACGCCTCCGACTTCCCTCCAGCACTCTTATGCCCCTACCCCTCGTCCCCCCCCCAACTCCCTCCCCTTCGCAGGAAGCTCTTTGGCAAGGCGTCCCACATGCCCGACTTCTGCAGCGCCCACCTGCCTGCCACCTGCACGCTCGTATTCGGAGGGGCCTCTGTCTCTGAATCCACCATCCCCCATTCCCTCTCGCTTTCTCTCCCCCCACAGGAAGCTCTTTGGCAAGGCGTCCCACGTGCCCGACTACTGCAGCGCCCACCTGCCCGACACGTGCACGCTCGTTCTGGTGCAGGGCGGCAGGAAGATCAAGGAGCTGCCCGGCGGCGCTGGCCCTCCCGCCCTGCCCTCCCGCTCCACCCGCCACGCTGCCCTGCTCCCGCAGCAGCACGCCCCACGCCCCGACCACCCGCATCCCTCCCCCCACGCGCCGATCCCCCACTATCCACAGAATCCACAGATTCCCCAGATTCCCCAGAATCCACAGAATCCACAGATTCCCCAGATTCCCCAGTACCCCCAACACACGCAGCGTGCTCAGCCTTCCCTACAGGCCCACATAGGGCAGCAGAACCAGCTGCAATCCCAACAGGCGCAGGCCTACTTGCCGCGGGCTAGCAGTGGCAGCGAGTCGGATGGGAGGGGAGGGGGAGAGGGGGGAGGAGGGGGGGGCGCAGGGGGCTCGTCTCACGTGTCAAGCGCCCTCAGCTCGCCGTCGCAGAGCCCTCCGCTCTCCCCTGCGTCCCGCTCTGCCTACACCGGCATCTGCCCTCCCGCTGCCGCTGGGGCCTCGCCCCCTGGCGGTGTGAGTGCTGCTCCCTGGGGAATGGGAGGCGTGGCTGGCGTGGGGGCCGTAGGTGGCATGGGTGGCATGAGTGACATGGGTGGCATGAGTGGCATGGGTGGCATGAGTGGCATGGGTGGGGTGGGTGGCATGGGTGGGGTGGGTGGCATGGGTGGCGTGTTCCCAGCAACTTCTCTCGGTGCTCCTGCACTCTCTCATCTCTCATCTAGCCCCACTGATAGCCCTGGCAGCTCCTCTCTACCCGGATTCACCTCGATTCCCACCACCATGGTTGCTAGTGCCGCCGCCGCTAGCGGTTTCCCGAACCAGGGGATGCTTCCAGGCTTGGGAACAGGCTCGGGGGCAGGTACGGGAGGACTGGGGGGGCATGGGGAAGGGGCGCAGTGGAATGTGTACAGGCAGATGCTAAGGGCGCAGCACAACCAGCAGCAGTACAATCAGCAGCAGCACAGCCTGCAGCTTTACAGCCAGCAGCAGCAGCAGCAGGCAGGGGGAAGACAGATCGGAAGGGTCTCGCCAGAAAGTGTCACTCCTGCTGGCTTAGGCGCTGGGAGCGCTGCCGCCGCTCCTGCTGCTGCTGCTGTGGCTGCAGGCATGCCGCGGGATGGCAGTGTGGGCAGCAGCACAGGCAGCGTTGACTCCAACCTGCATAGGGTGGACTCTGCTTCCGGGCCTCGCCGCCAGCCGTCCCCCTTGGGTGTGCCCGCTCCAAACAGCACCAGCAGCAGCAACACTCATACTGCCAACCACACTAGCACTCACACCAGCAGCCGGGCAGGCGCAGCTGCAGCCAGGGCGTTCCCAGGCCTGATAGAGAACGCTCCCATCTCCCGCACCAACAGTGCCGGTAGCGGTAGCGGTACCAACCCCAGGGCCCATGGCGGTCACACCCGCCCCCTCCCATCCACCCGCCTTGGCACCCCCATGCCTGTCCCTGGGAGGGGCTCTCCCGCGGGGGATGCTGATGCTGGAGCTGCCGTGGCGATGCAACAGCAGCGGCAGCAGGCGGAGCAGCAGGAGGCTCAGGTGATGATGCGGCTCTATCAGCAGCAGCAGATGGAGCACGAGGGGGCAGCGGTCGAGCAGCAGTTGAGTCAGCGCAAGCAGCGGCAGCAGGCGGAGCAGCAGGATGCAGCGCAGGTGATGATGCGGCTGTACCAGCTGCAGCAGATGGAGCAGATCGAGATGTTCCGGATGCACCAGCAGGCGCAGCTGGCGTTTCACCTGCAGCACCAGCAGCAGCAGGGGCAGCAGCAGCAGCAGCAGCAGCAGCAGCAACAGCAGGAATCCCTGCCTCAGGCACACATACCAGCAGAAATCCAACAAGCAAAGCAGCAGCAGGAGCAGGAGCAGCAGCAGCAGCAGCAGCAGCAGCAGCAGCAGCATGTGCGTACAGGGAACCAACTTTCGCAGGCACAGCAGGCCCAGCAGGGAGAGCAGCAAGATCTAGCAAAGCCGCAAAGAGCCAACACGCTGCCTGGAAAGACGGCTGATGCGGCAATGGCAGTGTCCGCCCTTGGCGTTGCACCCAGTAACGCCCCTTCTGCCCTTGGTGTTACACCCAGTAACGCCCCTTCTGGCATTAACGTTACTCTCAGCAACATCCCTACCACCAGCACCACTGCCCCCTCTGCCCCCCCATCAGCAGCACCAGCAGTGCCAGCTGCTGCCCCATCATCCTCGGCTGCTGCTGTAAGTGGCCCGTCAACTCCCCCTGTCCCATGCGCTGCCAGTAACAGTAACAGCAGCAGCAGCAGCAGCAGCAGCAGCAGCAGCAGCAGCAGCATCAGCAGCAGCATCAGCAGCCAGTCAGCAACCCTCAGTGACCCGACCCCAGCTCATTTGGCAGGAGTGGTAGCAGCAGCAGCAGCAGAAGCAGCAGGAGCAGAAGGAGCAGCAGCAGCAAGAGTAGCAAGAGAAGCAGCCGGTTCAGGAACGAGCTCTCTGTCCTCCCTTTCTCCACCTCCTCCTTCCAGCGACCCAGCAGCAGCAGCAGCACTTATGCAGGCAAACACGGGCATGGGCATGGGGATGGGCACTGGTATGGGTATGAGCATGGGCACAGGTACAGGTATAGGCTCAGCTATGGGCACAGGTATGGGGATGGGCATGGGTATGAGTCCATTTGGCTGGCCTGGTGCAAGCATGCAGTATATGAATCCATACATGGGCATGGGCATGGGCATGGGCATGCATGGATCCATGGGAGGACCCATGGGTGGGGGGATGGGAGCAGGGGGGGTGCCCATGGGGCAAACGGGGTTGATGGGCGGAATGGGTGGAATGGGGGGGGTGAGTGGGTTTGGGTTTCCTAATCTCGATTCTGCTACCTCTTCTTCTACTGCTGCTGCTTCCTCTGCTGCTACTGGCACCTCCACTGGAGGCCCAGGCTTCTCCCCCCTGGGCTCCACAGCAGCATCAGCAGCAGCAGCAGCGGCAGCAGGTGGCGGGTTTGGTATGCCAGGCATGGGATATGGCATGCATGGAGGGTTTGGATTCGGAGCTCCCTTTGACTTCACCGAGCTTCTTGCAGAGCTGGCTCGGCTGCAAGAGCAGGCTCGGGCAGCCCAGCTCGCCGCCGAACGTGCGGACCAGCAGGCCCGGGAGGCTCGGGAAGAGGCTCGGATGGCCCTGGAGAACGCCCGAGCCGAGTCCCAGCGGCGCTTAGAGGCGGAGCTAGAGAAGGAATTAGCTAAGCGCCAGGCGGAGGAAGAGGCTAAGCACGCTGCGGCGGCAAAAGAGGAGGCGGCGGAGGCGAAAAAGGCAGCGGCGGAAGCAGCAGCATCAGCTGCGGCTTCTCTTGTGAAAGCGCAGGAGGAATATGCTTTAGAGAAGGTGAAGAAGCAGCAGGAGTTCCGGCAGTACACTATAGAGGAGCTGGAGGCTGCTTGTAACGGATTTAGTGAGGAGAACCTGGTGGGCGAGGGGGGGTACGGGTCGGTGTATAAGGGCATGTTGGAGCACTTCCCTGTGGCTGTCAAGGTGCTGAAGAACGCCCAGACGAACCAGGCGCTGAAGGAATTCAAGAAAGAGGTGAGCGCAGCTTGATAAGTGCTGAGCGTTGTGGGGGGGCAGGGCAACATAGCTGTGGTACGGGTCGGTGTATAAGGGCATGTTGGAGCACTTCCCCGTGGCTGTCAAGGTGCTGAAGAACGCCCAGACGAACCTGGCGCTGAAGGAATTCAAGAAAGAGGTGAGGGCATTCTGTCCAGTGTTGAGCTTTCTGAGTGAAGGTGGGAGAGGGGGGGTGCTTGTTGGTGGGCGAGGGGGGGTATGGGTCGGTGTAGACGGGGATGCTGAAGCACTTCCCTGTGGCAGTCAAGGCTCTCAAGAACGCCCAGACGAATCAGGCTCTGAAGGAATTCAAAAATGAGGGGAGGGCGGGCAGTCCAGTGAGCCTTGGGAGAACAAGATTTTAAAGAATGCTCTGCTCCCTGACTCAGCCATAGTTGCTTGCTGGCGTCACGCTTCTGTGTTCTTATAATCAGGCTGGAAAAGAAAATGCCAAACAACCAGGAGGCTTGCATGGCTTCATGCTCCTGTATTCCATGTTTGTGTTCTCTTCCGTTCCTTCTCAACCGCTCTTGCCTCCCGTCTGAGCCCTCTCTCTGTTTCCCTTTCCTTCAAGTACTCCCCTTCTCCCTCCTTCCCCAACCCTCGTCTCGTCTGCACGTGGAGTTGCAGGGGGTTCTGCGCCACCCCAACATCGTGCTGCTCTTTGGCTGCTCTTTAGCTGCTCTTTGGCTGCTCTTTGGCTGCTCTTTGGCTGCTCTTTGGCTGCTCTTTGGCTGCTCTTTAGCTGCTCTTTGGCTGCTCTTTGGCTGCTCTTTGGCTGCTCTTTGGCTGCTCTTTAGCTGCTCTTTGGCTGCTCTTTGGCTGCTCTTTGGCTGCTCTTTGGCTGCTCTTTGGCTGCTCTTTTTCCTGCATCCAGCTGTGTTCGTAGGCGCCTCAAACCCCTCTCCTGCCATGCACCCTCCTCCCCCGCCCTCCCCCCACCCCCCAACAGGTGGAGGTGCAGCGGGGCCTGCGGCACCCCACCATCGTGCTGCTGATCGGGTGCTGCCACAATCCGCCGTGCCTCGACTTGGAGTACATGCCGCAGGGCTCGCTCTACGACTGGCTTCTGTGTGGCAGGGGCTCCCCCCCAACCCTGGCCCCTCTGCTCCAAACCGTCTCAGAGCCCGCAGTGCAACAGAGTGCTGCATGCATCTTGAGGCGCCTCAAACACCCCTCTCGTTTCTTGCGCCCTGCCTCCCCAACCCCTCCCCCGCCTCTTCTTCAGGTGGAGGTGCAGCGGGGGCTGCGGCACCCCACCATCGTGCTGCTGATCGGGTGCTGCCACAACCCGCCGTGCCTCGTGTACGAGTACATGCCGCAGGGCTCACTCTACGACCGCCTGCTCTGCGATAAGGGCTCTCCCCCCCTGCCTTGGAACGTGCGCTTTGAGATATTCGAGAACATGTGCAAGGCGCTCATTCACCTGCACAACCGGTGAGTTGCAACATGAGCCCTTACTAGGGTGGTGTATCAACCTTTGTGAGGACAGCTCCTCCCCCACCTCCCCTCCCCTCCTCCCCCCCACATTGCCTTGGAACGTGCGGTTTAGGACCATGTGCGCTCATTCCCTGTATAACGGTGAGGTTTGAGTCTGTATTTGGGGATGTTTGGGTCTTGAGTTCTTTGCGGGGGATGTCTGCTGCTGTGCTCGGAGCTGAACTCGGCGGGTCTGGTGCGCTTCCTGGTGGGGTGGGCATGGACAACGGCCGCGCCTTCATGAAGCAGTCCATGGGCGTTGGGACCACCTTGGGCGTTGGGACCACCTTGGGCACGTGCCATTCCTCCCTCCCTCTTCCCCAACGCCTCAACCACCTCCACCTCTCTCTCCTCTTGTCCTCTGGAACCCCTCTTCCCTTGGTCCCTGTAGGGTTCCAGCAATCGTGCATCTGGACCTCAAGCCAGCCAACGTGCTGCTGGACAACAACTTTGTGGCTAAACTGGGAGACGTGGGACTAGCTCGCTTCCTAGTGGGTATGGACAACGGCCGCTCCTTCATGCAGCAGTCCATGGCCGTGGGCACCTTCGGCTACGTGGACCCGCACTTCCTGCGCACGGGGCAGTTCTCCCGCGAGTCCGACATCTACTCCCTGGGGATGGTCATGCTGGACATGCTGATAGGGATCAATGAGACGTCTGGGGAGAGGGGGAAGAGGGATCGGGAGTTGGAGGCCTTGGAGGAGTGTGAGGAGGGCGGGGATGTGGATGCGCTTGGGGAGCTGCTGGACCCGTCCGCGGGGTGCTGGCCGCCACGTGTCGCACTGCAGCTGGTGCAGCTGGTGCGGCAGATGGCGCATTACAAGAGGAAGGCGCGGCCGGACCTGAGCAAGCAGGTGAGAGAGAGCGAGCTACAGGTCCTAGCTGGTTATGCTCGGGTGCCCAGCCTGCCCTCAGTTGCTCTCTCGGAAGGAGCGGCCGGACCCGAGGAAGCAGGTGATGAGGTGGTGGTGGGGGTGGTGGTGGGGGTGGTGGTGGGGGTGGTGGTGGGTGGTGGTGGGGTGGTGGTGGGGGTGGTGGTGGGGGTGGTGGTGGGGGTGGTGGTTGGGTTGGTGGTCTGGGTGGTGGGTGGAGCTGAGACAGGGTGGGTAGAAGAGTAGAATTCTTTTCCCATAGCTCTCTGCCGACCAGCATTCCTCTTTCACGCCTTCTGCAGTCTACTCTGTTCAGTTCTCCTCATATCTTGGCTGTGCGATGCGAGCAAGCAGGGGATGGTTTTGAGGCGCCTCAAAACTAGACTCCTATCACATGTCGTGGCCGTGCGATGCGAGCAAGCAGGGGATGGTGATGGGGGAGGAGCTGTGCATCGTTGTACATGCTGCTGTGGCGTTTGAGGCGCCCCAACTGCAGCCTTACATTTTGGCATTCCTTTTCATCCCTTGCCTGCCCCGCAGCACAGGTTTTGAGGCGCCTCAAAACTAGATTTCATCCCTTGCCTGCCCCGCAGCACAGGTGATGGCGGTGGTGGAGGAGCTGCGCTGCGCCCCTACGGGGATGCTGCTGTGCCGCTTTTGACGCTCCTCAACTGTTCTTTAGCCTTCACAATTCGTTGCATTCTTCACAACTGCATTCCAACCTTATCATTCCCTCACTCCCTGCCCACCAGGTGATGGCGGTGGTGGAGGAGCTGCACCCCTATGTGGCTGCGGCTGACAGAGACGTTCTGCTACCCCTTCATTCCTTCACTCCTTTTCACTCCTTTTCACTCCTTGTCACTCCACTCCCTGACCGACCGGGCAGGTGATGGCGGTGGTGGAAGAGTTGCGCCCCTACGTGGACGCGGCTGTGGCGCTGGAGAGGGCCGACCTCATGGACGACTGCAGGAGGTGCCATAACTGCGTTCTTTCCAACCATATCCATTTCCTCACTCCTGGCATGCAGGTGATGGCGGTGGTGGAGGAGCTGCGCCCCTACGTGGACGCGGCTGTGGCGCTGGAGAGGGCGGACCGCATGGACAACTACCGTGACTTTGTGCCCAACGAGTTTCGATGCCCCATCACCATGGTACGAGTTCTGATGCCCCATCACCATGGTACTTGCCTTGGGGATTGTGCGACGGTATGAGTCCTGATGGCTCCCTCCCTCCATCTCATTCCCCACACAGCATCATGGAAGGCTGATACTGGAGCGCCATTCCCTGCTGCCAGGAGGTCACCCATGAGGACCTGTGCCCTGCTGCCACTCCCCCTCCGTTCTCTCCCACCCCCCACCTCTTTCCCCGTTCTTTGCATGCAGGGCATAATGGAGAATCCCGTTCTCGCAGCAGACCGGCACCTATGAGCGCGAGGCCATAGCGCAGTGGCCGCGCGTGCACAACACAACACGCTCCTATCACCCACTCACTCCGCTCTCCCCCCCCTCCCCCCCGGCCGTCCCTTGCAGGGCATCATGGAGAACCCAGTGCTGGCGGCAGATGGACACACAGACGAGTGCGAGGCCATAGAGCAGTGGATGCACGTGTACCACACGTTCATACCCACCCTCTCCTCCCTTCACCCTTCACCCCACCCTCCCCCCCGCGTCCTTCACCCGCAGGGTATCATGGAGAATCCTGTTCTCCCAGCAGACGGCCACACGTACGAGCGCGAGGCCATCGAGTAGCGGCTGCACGTGCACCGCATGTTCCTCTCCCCCCAACCCCCCTCCCTTCTTTTCTCTCTCCTTCACCCGCAGGGCATCATGGAAAACCCGGTTCTCGCAGCGGACGGCCACACGTACGAGCGCGAGGCCATCGAGCAGTGGCTGCGCGTGCACAACACGTCGCCCAAGACGGGCAGGCGGCTGGAGAGCAAGGCGCTGACGGACAACATTGCAGTGCGCTCCATGATCGCCGAGTGGCTGGAGCACCGGCTGCAGAGGAGAGAGTGAGTTGCGGCTTTGTTTGCTTGCCCTCCCTACTGATTGTTAGCTAGCTTCCCTTAACGGCTGGAGAGTGAGGCGCTGACGGGCAACATTGCGGACAACGTTGCAGTGCACTCCATGATCGCCGAGTGCCTCGAGCGCCGGCTGCAGGGGAGAGAGTGAAGGCCCCCCATTTGCTGAATCTCAAGGGATCCTCATTTGCTTGCTTTACTTGCCCGGGTGCGTGCTGGGTGCTTGGTTAAAGGCGGGAGAGCAAGGCTCTCGCGCTGATTGCTCTTCTTGTTGTTATTTTCTTTGTTTCTCCTTTGTTGTTACTGGTTTTGCAATTTTTTGTAAAAAAAAGGCCCATTCCCCACCCCCTTCTCTCCCTCCAGGTCCCAAAATCTCGACAGCCTCGTTAGTGGCGACTATGTTGATTCAAGGGACATGCCACTCGAGGGGGCACGTGACGAGCACATGCAAGCGGGGCAGACGGGGTATTATGGAGGCAGTGGTGGGCCGTCAGGGGAGTATCCTGGTGGGGATAGTGCCAACAACGGGTGCTTTGCTGGTGGTGGGGAGCTTTATAGGGAGTACAGGAATGGAGGAGGGGCGTATGGAGTGGGGGATTATATCGAGCGGTTGAAGGGGGGCTGTAGGGTGGTGGAGGAAGGGAGTGAGTGGGACGAGGAGGAGGAAGAGTGTGGGGGGGACGTTATGCGTCCTGTGGTGGCTACTGTTACTCGATGTGAAAGAGCTCCTACCCCGCCTCATGCTGCTGCTGCTGCTGATGGGTTGGGGTACAAGGCATACAGGGAAGCGAGGCGGAGAGATGATGGAGGGAGAGGAAGCTTTTAGGAAATGTGATGCCAGATGCGGTGCAGCACGGATCAAAGATTTAGCAGCATCAGTTTATTTGGAATCCCACATTTGTTCTATCCTTGTGTGCATTTCAAATCATGTTTAAAGCCCGCGGCCCAAATTGCGAGGCGCTACCTTCAAACGCACTGTGTTTGAAAGTCGCGTTTTCGTGGGTGTAGATGGGGGTAACGTGACTCGCGTCACTCGGGGCTGGCTTTCAAGTGCAGTGAGGAACGTATTTTGGGACACCAAGTGCCTTGCGTTTTTTAGCCGTCCAATATGTTGGGCTGAGAAATGCCCTTAGGATCTTTTCAGAGACTAAGTCCCAGTTGTAAAAGGAGACTTGAGTAGTGCAGCGGAAGTTGAGTAGTTGAACCCTTGTACTAGTATATGAGAACAAGTGATTGATTAAAGAAACAAGCATACAGCAATATATAGAAGATAAGAAAGCAGTTGTAGAGTACAGTTACAGGAACGGTTTATCGAGTCGCACAGCGACTCGATTGCCGCTTCGGTTACCATCCGTGATGTTGTAACGGTCAGTCGCAACCTCCAGTTGCGACCCTTCGAGTCTTTTCGCATTCTTTGTCCGCCCCCTCATGTAACCTCCGTTGACTCGCGTGCTCCCCTGTAGTCTTCCTCGAGTGCAGTGTTACACTTCAGAAACGCTTAAGTCCTTTGAGATATTTCCAACACTCCCCTTCGTTTCTGGAGTGTTGACGTGTTCGGGTCCGGTGACGTTTGTTTGCCCGGTCAGGAGCATGCAGTAGTCGAATTTTGCTTTCGCCAATTTCTTCGTCAGATAATCTGCGGCCATTTCTGTCGTCGGGCAGTAACTGAGTTGAAGTCTCCCCTTCGCGATTTCATCCTTGACGAAGAAGTACCGCAGGGCGATGTGCTTAGTTCGGTTGGCGAAGCCGTCCTTGTTCGCGATTTTGATCGCAGATTGGTTGTCGCAGAGTGAGAAGGCGGGCAGGGTCGCAATCTTCGCTTCCTCGAGTAACTCTCGTAGGTAGAGTCCTTCCTTGGTCGCAGTACAGAGGGCGATATATTCTGCTTCAGCCGAGGATAGTGCGATTAACTCCTGCTTGCTCGACTGCCAGGAGATAGTTCCGATAGGTTCTAGTCGGTAGATGTAGCCCGTCCTAGATCGTCGATTTTCCCTGTCTCCCGCGTGGTCGGCGTCGACGTATCCGAGTAGTCGTACGGACGGTATTGTTGCCTTGCTGTAGGTGAGCCCGATCGTCGGCGTGGAGACGAAGTAGAGTAGCGCCCGATTGAGCTCTTCGAGATCTTCCTGTTCCGGCTGCTTCAGATGCGTTGCCAATTGACTCGCACTATAGGACAGGTCGGGTCGGCATGTTACTGCTGCGAATAGTAGGCAGCCGAGCTTCTGTTGATACTCCTGGATTTGCTTCGCGGGGAGTTTTGCGGAGGCGCTGTTGTTGTTCCCGTAGCGGTAGGGAGTTGGGACCGCAGTCGGTGTTAGACCGAATTTCTTCGCGACGGTGCCTGAGTACTTTCCAGCGTGTAGGTAGAACGACGTGTCGTCTTCGACGACATTCAGTCCTAGGTACTGAGTAACTTCGTCGGACACCGTAAGTGTTAAGTCTTCTTTCAACTCCCCTTCGAACCAGGTGGCGATGTCGGTAGTGGAGCCGATGTAGAGCAGGTCGTCGACGTAGACGATGAGTAGGACATACTCTCTTCCCTTCTGCAGTCGGTACATCCCTTGGTCATGCGGCAGTTGTAGGAATCCGATTTTTGCGAGACGGCCGTGAAGGTGCTGCTGCCAGAGCCGCGGGGCTTGCTTGATCCCGTATAGGGATTTTGTCAGTCGGCATACTTTCGTGGGGTCGTCGATGAATCCGTGGGGTTGTTCGACGAAAATCTCAGCGTCCACAGGTGCGTATAGGAACGCATTGGCGAGGTCGATTTGGCGTAGTGGTAGTGTCTTCGTGGCCGCGACGGCGAGTAGGATGCGTAATGAGGTGTGACGGGAGACTGGAGCGAAGGTTTCTGTGTAGTCAGTTCCGTATCGTTGATCGAAGCCTCGTACGACCCATCGAGCTTTGAATCGTTCGATGGAGCCGTCTGAGTTGGTCTTGATGCGGTACACCCATTTCCCCGAGAGGACGTTCTTCCCGTTGATGCTTGTTGCAGGTACCAGTTTCCATGTTTCTCGGTCTTGCAGAGCCTTTAACTCCTTTTCCATCGCTTCTTTCCATTTTGCCTTATGTTCCCCCCCCAGAGCCTGCGACAAGGTCGAAGGCTCACGCGGAGAAGGCGGCGGCGGATGCTGGACGGAGACCCAGAGGCGTAGAATCTGCAGTCCCGTGGGTGTGTGTCGAGGGGAATTTTCATTCCCGGAATAAGCTGCTTCGTCACCGTCTTCTGGGTCAGGTAAGAAGTTGGGACCGATGCGTTCTGGGTGGGGTGTAATGTAACCTTGGTCAGCGAAGTGGTAAAAGGTCGGGAGGTTGTTACTATCGAGAGGATTGTCTTCGTCGAGTGGAACAGATACGGAACAGAATGGGAGTGGTCCGGCAGTTTCCGAGGCTCCAGGTACGTCTTCTTCTGCCGCATCAGCTTCGGCAGCACGATCGGCGAAGGAACGAAGTCCCGAGAAGCCGTCGGTGGGGTCTTGTGTGTTGGCAATGTTGTCCAGGTAATGCTGCAGCGTCAGTCGCTCGTAGAAATAACATCACGTGATGCCACCGGTATTTTTGTCTTGTATGTCGAGAATTTTCCACGCGTGAAAGTGTTTGGCGATGCCGAGGTGTAGTCCCCACCGAGCTCGTTGTGTGAAGCGTCCTGCTCGGGCTGTGTGGGGTCTGTACTATACCATGCAGCCGAAAACTCGGAGTAATTTTGTGCTGCCCCTTTTTCTTGTCCACAACAGGTGCGGTGATGCGTTGTTGGGTAGTGATGACGAGGACAATAGGTTGTGCAGGTGAACTGCATGTGTCATCGCGTCTGGCCACAGTGTGGTGGGCAGCCTCATCCCCAGAAGTAGTTTTCGCATTGTCGTCTGCAAGGTCCGGTTCATGCGTTCTGCTACCCCCTGCTGTTGGTGAGCATAGGGTAGAGACACCAGGCGTCGGATTCCTCTTTCCGCCAGATAGGTCCTGAAGCGTTGTGACTGGTATTCCAGTGCACCGTCTGACTGGAAGCTCTTGAGTTTGGTTCCTGATTCTCGTTCGGCGATGGGAAGCCATGTGGTGAAGGCCTCGAAGGCTTGATCGCGCGTTTTGAGATTGAAGTGCCAAACGTATCTGGTTGCTGCGTCGATGAACGTGATGACGTAGTTGAAGTCGGCTTCGGTGTCTTCTCGAGGCATGTTAATGATGCATTTGATGCATTCTGAATGTACTGCTTTCAGGTTTCCTCATGCAGTGGTCAGCAACTTTCCTTTTGTTGCATGCGGCACGTTGTCATTCGCAATCTGGTCGAGCCACAGGGGCTGCATGCATGGTCCTCGTGTGGTTCAGCGGAAGTTGCAGAGCCTTTTTTAAGTCCCGTCCTCCTTCTCCACATCCCTCTGCTCACCTCCCTCCTCACATCCCTCTGCTCACCTCCCTCCTCACATCCCTCTGCTCACCTCCCTCCTCACATCCTCGTCCTTCTCTCATCGCAGAGACTTGTCGTACAACCAACTCACAGGAAGCATCCCGGTTGAATTATCCAACCTCAAGATGTTGAACAATTTGTAAGGGTCTCCACTTCTGCGTTTGATCTCCTTACTCAGTCCCCCTGTTTTCCTCATAAGTGCTGGATATCTTCAACTGTAGAGTCGCAGTTTACCCTTCTATAACACTAGTTCGACACGCTAGCAGCAAAGGGGGGCACGGCACAATAACTTCTCTCACCTGTCCGTCCCGCTCATTCTCCTTGTGAACAGCGTAGTCACAGGCAACTCGCTCAGTGGTCCCCTGCCTACTACCGCCCTGCCCCCGACTCTGGAGTGGCTGTGAGTCTCAGAAGTGTTTCCTCAAAACCGCCTTGGATTGGAAGCCGACTTAGGGTACCTGACAACCCTCGCCTTGCTGCAAAACGGCCAGAATTTGATGCTGGTTCGCTACTTGGTTGGTTGGCGCGTCCTACGTCTGTAATGCGGCCTTCAGCAGCCTTGGAGCAAGAAGGACACGGACCTCCACTGGCTGCAGGCAACCATGCCTGTCACCATAGGAGGCATGGGCGTCCTCTACCATCCTGCAGAGGGTAGCTACAGCTACCTAGCCTCAACAGCCCTGGCAGGGGACCTCCACCACTCTCGAGCCCCATGGCCTCTTCCCCTCCGCACCCTCCTCCACCTCCTCTACCTGTTCCCCCCCCCCTTTCACTGCCCAGATCCAAGGACTCAACAAGGAGAGAGAGAGAGGGAGAGGGAGAGAGAGACAAGGAGCGTCCTTGCCGCTCCCACTGTTCTCCTCTCTGGATATAACTCGTTCTGTTTCTCCGCCCTTTCCCCCTCCCTCCTCCACCCTCCTCTCCGCTCCTTGCAGTCACCTTGCCAATAACAACTTCTCAGGCTCCATTCCTCCGTCCTACACAGCCTTGAAGCACCTCTTCGACATGTAGGTTGCCTGCAAGTCCACTCAAAAGTCACCAGTGTGGTCCTTCCTCCCACAGCTTGTATGCCTGCCCGCCACAACCCACCATGCATGCACCCTGGCAAGCCAGACTGCAGGGCACTGTTCAGCTCACAATATTGCAAGCCTGCCAAGCTGTTCCATCCCATGCCCTGCCATCCCATGCCCTGCCATCCCATGCCCTGCCATCCCATGCCCTGCCATCCCATTCCCTGCCATCCCATTAGACATGATCAAAACGCGATTGCGATTTAAATCGCATCGCATGCAGGTGCGATGTTTAAAAAAGCGATGCGATTTTAAATCGCATCGCGCGATTTATTTTTCCAAAAAAAATAATCGCAAATCGCATTTTACCCGCGATGTATTAAAAAATCGCATGCGATATTTAATTAAATCGCGCAATGCGATTTTAAATCGCATCGCGTTTTAAAACAGAATAAAAAAACACCCCAAAAAAACAGAAAAAAACATGGCTGCGGGGAAATTGACTCACGGGCAGTCGTAAGCTAGAGTGCAAATAACCAGTGTGGTTTCGTAGTGGGTTTCAGAGTGGGTTTCAGTGCAATATCGCGCGGGAGTTTTTAAAAATCGCTTATCGCATTTAAATCGCGTTTTTTAGCGCGATTAAAATGCGATTTAAATTAAATCGTGCGATATTAATTCATCGCATCGCGCGATGATAAAAAAAAAAAAAAAAAAAAAAAACATCGCCATCGCAAAAACGCGATTAAATGCGAT